AGAGGTGATGTTTGATGTAAAACCGAAAGTTTTGGGGACAGTTTGAGCTTGGGGCGGCGGATTTGGGTGGTTTGGGGTGGTGGCCGGACGTTTAGGTCTTAAGGTTTGGGGGTGGTGTTCGAAAAAGTGGGTTCTTTTAACGGGTTGGGGCTGTTTTAATCGCAGAGACCGGCGCTGGTTATCAGGCGTCTGGCGCCGGATGTTCCAATTAGATGCGCCCCGGACTTTCTGTTTCGGACCGGGGCCGGTTGCTTCTGACCGGCGCCGGTCTTTCCTTAGAATTTTTATATATTTTTTTTTAATATCAAACATGAATAAATATGAATGTTGTTTATGTGAGTAAACATATTTACTTATAAGTGATTTTTGATCAAATATAAATAAAAAATGAATATAACTCAAACATATTTATTCATAATTGAAATTTTTTTTTGTGTTGGGTTGCCTCCCAATTAGCGCTCAGTTTAACGTCGTAGGCCGGACGCAACGTACCTCTATTCTTCCAATTGGCATGCGGCGGTTGCCGAAGTGATATGGTACTCCATGTATGGCTTGAGCCGGTGACCATTTACAAGGAATGGTGTTTGGTCACCGTTTTGAATCATCATTGATCCGTATGGGCGGACCTCGGTGATTGTATATGGTCCTGACCATCGGGATTTGAGCTTTCCAGGGAATAATCGGAGCCGTGAGTTGAAGAGTAATACCTTTTGTCCGACATAGAACTCCCTCCGGTTAATGTTCTTGTCATGCCAAACTTTGGCCTTTTCTTTGTAGATACGGGAGTTCTCATATGCATCCCGTCGGAGCTCTTCTAGTTCATTGATTTGGAGCATTCTCTTTTCTCTCCCAAGGGTGGTATCAAGGTTCAGTTGAGAGATAGCCCAATGAGATTTATGCTCAAGTTCCACAGGGAGATGGCATGGTTTGCCATAAACAAGCCGGAAAGGGGACATACCGAGTGGGGTTTTAAAGGCCGTCCGGTATGCCCATAAGGCATCATCTAGCTTTAGAGACCAATCTTTCCTTGAAGAGTTGACCGTCTTCTCAAGAATGGATTTTATTTCACGGTTGGATACCTCCACTTGACCATTAGTTTGAGGATGGTAAGTGGCACCGGTTTTGAACATGCACCCGTATTTTTTTAGGAGCCCGGCAAAATGGGTATTCTTGAAATGAGCACCATTATCACTAATGATACTTCTAGGAACCCCAAACCTTGAAAAAATGTTCCTTTTTACAAATTCTACTACCGATTTGGCCGTGTTGTCTGGTAGAGCAATGGCCTCCACCTACTTAGACACATAATCAACCGCAACAAGGATGTATTCCTTTCCATGAGATTTAGGGAAAGGGCCCATGAAGTCTATTCCCCATACATCAAATATTTCAACCACAAGAATCATGTTTTGTGGCATTTCATTCCTTCGGCTCAAATTTCCGGTGCGTTGGCAACGGTCACAAGCTAGGACAAAGCTCCTTGCATCTTTAAAGAGTGTTGGCCAAAAGAATCCACATTGGAGGATTTTAGCCGCGGTTCGGTCCGGTCCATGATGTCCTCCACAAGGAAGATTATGGCAATGATCAAGGATAGATAACATCTCCTCATTCGGAACACACCGTCATATAATTCCATCGGCACAATGCTTGAAAAGATATGGCTCATCCCAATAGTAATGTTTGACATCATGTAAAAATTTCTTTCTTTGATGGAAAGTGAGCTCTTGGGGAAGAATTTCTTTGGCAAGATAGTTCACAAAATTTGTGAACCAAGGTAAGGGAACTCCTTTTACTTCCATGAGCTGCTCATAAGGAAAATCGTCATGAATTACCTCTATTTTCGTGGTGGTATTTGGCTCAAGACGAGAGAGGTGATCCGCTACGAGATTTTCACTTCCTTTCTTGTCCCGAATCTCAAGGTCAAACTCTTGGAGTAAAAGCACCCACCGGATTAGTCGTGGCTTAGCATCCTTTTTATTCATGAGGTACCGGATGGCGGAGTGATCGGTGTAGACAATCACCTTTTGGCCAATGAGGTAAGACCGGAATTTGTCAAAAGCATAGATGACGGCTAGGAACTCTTTCTCCGTAGTTGCATGATTGAGTTCCGCATCATGGAGTAACCTCGATGCATAGTATATGGCATGAAGTTTCTTTTCTCTTCTTTGACCAAGCACAACCCCAATGGCGTGGTCGCTAGCGTCGCACATCAATTCGAACGGTAGAGACCAATCCGGTGAAATGATTATTGGAGCCGAAGTAAGAGCCTTCTTGAGAGTGTTGAAGGCTAGTAAGCAAGATGGAGAGAAATCAAAAGCGGCATCCTTGGCAAGTAAATCACAAAGTGGTTTTGCGATTTTTGAAAAATCTTTGATGAATCGCCGGTAAAAACCGGCATGCCCCAAAAAACTTCTTATGGCTTTTACCGAATGAGGAGGTGGTAATTTTTCAATAACCTCCACCTTGGCTTGATCAACTTCGATGCCTTGAGGGGAGATTTTGTGCCCCAAGACAATGCCTTCGGTCACCATAAAGTGACATTTCTCCCAATTAAGAGCAAGATGGGTTTCTTCACATCGGACGAGCACTTTTTCAAGGTTATTTAGGCAAACATCGAATGAATTTCCAAAGACTGAAAAATCATCCATAAATACCTCCATATAATCTCCAACCATGTCCGAGAAAATAGCCATGACGCACCTTTGAAAGGTCCCCGGTGCATTGCAAAGACCAAATGGCATCCTTCGGTAAGCAAATGTCCCAAAAGGACAAGTAAAAGTTGTCTTCTCTTGATCCTCGGGTGAGATGGCTATTTGAAAATAGCCGGAAAAACCATCCAAGAAGCAATAAAATTCATGACCCGCCACTCTTTCTAGCATTTCGTCCATGAACGGTAGGGGGAAATGGTCCTTCCTTGTGCCGGCATTCAGTTTGCGGTAGTCAATGCACATTCTCCACCCGGTAACCATTCTAGTAGGAATTAGTTCATTCTTACTATTGGTTATAACGGTGATTCCTCCCTTCTTCGGGACTACTTGCACGGGACTCACGAAGTTGCTATCGGATATGGGATAGATAATACCATAGTCAAGAAGTTTGAGAACTTCCTCCTTGACTACCTCCTTCATATTTGGGTTGAGCCTCCTTTGATGTTCCACCGTTGTTTTGTGGTTTTCCTCCATGAGGATCCGATGCATGCATAGAGTTGGGCTTATACCCTTGATATCCGCCAAGGACCAAGCTATTGATGATGTGTGAGCTCTCAATACCTGGAGTAATTTCTCTTCTTGTAAAGGAGAAAGAGTAGAGGAAATTACCACGGGGTATGTAGAATTATCGCCAAGGAATGCATATTTGAGATGTACCGGTAGAGGTTTGAGAGTGGGCTTTGGAGGAGTTTGACTTGATGGTTTGAGAATAGACTTCCTTTGCCCAAGGTCTTCAAATCTTTGCCGGTAAGGTCTATGAACGACTTCTCCTTGTAAGAACATCATTTGTTGGAAAATTTCAGAATTTTCTTCTTCTTCGGAATGCTCAAGTGTGAGACATGCTTCAAGAGGGTCTTTTTTAAGTTCTTTTTCAAACATCTCCCGAGTTATAGTATCAATGATGTCAATACTAAAACACGTGGAGCTATCATGATGTTTCTTCAATGAATCCCACACATGGAATTCTTGTTCATCTTCTCCTACTCGGAATTTGACAACTCCGTTCTTCACATCAATGAGGGCGGCGGCGGTGGCTAGAAATGATCTCCCAAGAATGATAGGAATTTCCATTTCTTCCATTTCCAAGATGAGAAAATCTACCGGAAAATAGAATTTTCCCACCTTAACTAGAACATCTTCCATAACTCCCAATGGATAGCGGATTGTTCTATCCGCTAATTGGAGAGCAATCGTTGTAGATTGAAGTTCCCCCACACCAAGCTTTTTAAAGAGGGAATGTGGCATGAGATTTATACTAGCTCCGAGATCACAAAGAGATTTTACCTCTCCAATTTTTCCAATAGAGCATGGGACGGTGAAGCTTCCGGGATCCTTCAACTTTGGGGGGAGTTTATTTTGAAGGATTGCACTACACTCCTCCGTGAGTGCTACGGTTGCAAAGTCCGCTAGTTTCTTCTTGTTTGAGAGAATCCCCTTTAGAAATTTGGCATAAGAAGGGATTTCCGCAATAGCCTCTGCGAATGGTATGTTGATGCTTAACTTTGTAAAAATATCAAGAAATTTCTTGTATTGTTTACCATCATCCTTCTTCTTTAACCTTTGTGGATATGGGATAGGGGGAACATAATTTGCCATAGTAGGGAGTGGCGATATATGTTCCTCCAACTCCTCCTCGTCTTGTGTCGTTGGTGCTCCCTCCGGAGTTTTAGGGTCCTCCGTTTGTTTGCCACTCCGCGTTGTTATGGCCATGATGTTTTCCCTTGGATTAACTTCGGTTGTTGTGGGAAATCGCCCTTGTTCTCGAGTGCTTTTTCCTTGGGCAATTTGCCCAATTTGGACCTCCAAGTTGTGGATAGATGCCTTGGTGTATTGTTCTATGTTGTCCATGCGTTGGTGGAGTTTCCGGTTTTGATCTTCAAACCGGAGGTCAAGCTTGGTGAATTGTGAGTGGAGATTCCCAATGGATGCCTCCACTCTACTATGATTCTCCTCATTTTGGGCTTTTACACTAGCCACAACATTTTGAGTGAGAGTCTTCATCATTTCCTCCATTGTTTGCTCTTTTTGCCCATGTGTAAACCCGGATGAGGGGTAAGAAGGACCTCCTTGTGGTTTACCTTGGTTAAACCTTTGTTGATTGTTGGAATAGTTGTTGCCTCCTTGGTACCCCCCTATTCCCGTAAGAGTTCATATAATTCACGTCTTCAAGAGTTTGAGGTGAATTACCTTCCGGTTGTGCAATATTCTCCACACTTGCTACTTGACTAGCTCCTCCAATCACGGCTTGAAGAGCCGTGTGAATAGAGACTTGAAGATCTTTGTGCATAGCTTGTTGAAAATCAGCAAACCGCTTGTCCAATTCATGAGCTATGGACACCTCACTCACACCGGCTAATTTGACATCTCCTCCTTGTAGTTGAGGATTGGAAGCAATGGATTCAAGGATTCTCAAAGCCTCCGTTTCAGTTTTGTTGCCAATATAGCCCTCCGCACGGTTATCTACAATGGCTTGACATGAAGAGTTCAAACCATTGTAGAACGTATCAATTTGAAGATCAAGAGGAATGCGGTGATGTGGGCATTCCTTCAACAAGGCTTTGAAACGCCTCCATGCGTCTTGGAATAGTTCTCCAACTTGTTGTTTGAAGTTGAAGATTCGTTGCCTTAGCTCTTGAGTCATCGTGGGTGTATAATACTTGGAAATGAAAGCATTATAGATACCTTCCCACGTTGTGAAAGTTGCCGGTGTTTGCTCCAAGAACCATCCCCTTGCTCCCCCTTTCAAGGTATAGGGAAAGCTTTTGAGTTTAAGATCATCCTCGGTGAGACCATGCCTAGGGATTCCTTGGATGAATCCATAGAACTCGGTGATGAAGTTTAGTGGATTCTCCCCCGGAAGGCCATGAAATTGAGGCATAGCATTGAAGTAGCTATTTTTCATTTCATAGTCCCGAGCCGCCTCGCTTAGGACAATGCATGAGGGAGTGGCGGCAACCACGGGCCTCTTCCTTTCATTGAGTGTTGGCATCATCTTCGCCTTTCTTTTTTTTTTTTTTTTTTTTTTTTTTTTTTTATCCCGGAAGGCAAACCACCGCATCCAGTGGGGCAAATGCCGGGAGACAGTTGCCAAAATTTTATTAAAAGAGATTAAAAAATAATTGGGGGGACCAAACCTGACCCAATAAAAACAATTACATGATTCTAAAGAAACTCAAGCCTAATTTATCAGCAACAATAGCATGTCTAATATAGCCAGGCAAGTTCCTAATGTTGTTAAAAATAGTCTGATCCTCCAAATTAAGTTTAGACAAGAAATGCGCAGGCCTGTTCATTTCCCGAAGGATATGTCCGAACGATAAGCGGCCATCAACCATCCACCTTCTCAGATCAACCAGGAAGCACTTCCATCTTCGCCTTTCTTTCCTTCCGGTTGTGTTTGAGAGTTCTTTCTATTTCAAGATCAAGAGGTTCAAGATGTTTAGAACCTTGACTTCTCAAATGCATTCAAACACAAAGGATAGTCTACACACATGAAATGAAAAGTACCCAAGAACAAGTGAAAAGCAATGGGAAATAAAAATTTCAGGATTTTGTTTGGTTGTTTTAACTCTATAATAACAAGCCGTATTTCCCCGGCAACGGCGCCAAAAACTTGATCGGGCTAAAATTGCAAGTATACAAGTGCCGATGTAGTAATAATACCGGTAAATACCGGGTCGATCCACAGGGAAATGGTTGATATTATAAAGTCGAGTGTTGAATGCAAGCAATATAAATGATATAATTTTTCAGGAACTTTGTTCTTTGAGATTGATTTAAACAAGAATGAGAATTACTAAGGCAATCGGGATTCACCTAAATGCTTTAATAGTTATTTAATAATAGTTCTTCTCCAATAATTATGAATACGATGTCGCTAATATATTCTCAACTCCGGTTAAGGCGGCGAGAACGTGGTTTTCGTTACGTGTAAGTCCCGTTACGGCTTACATTCATCTACCGAAAACCCCGTTGAATATCAAGACATCACACCCGTACCATATAAGACCGGATATATTTCTATTCTCGGTACTATATATGTTTATCCTTTAATGTTCATAGTTTAGACTTCAACGATAATTGCAAGCATAAACTAAATTTAACATACTTCTATGTTGTACACCATAGTCATAAACAATCAAAATATAAAGGATAAATCACAATTTATTGGTTCAGAACTTTTATCAAACACCTAGTATGCATAGAGGTTCATCCCTAGCCTTAGCTAAGAAATTAGCCTCTAATGCTCATATTAATCACAATACAATATTGAAATGTAATGGAACATGAAATTACAAAGGAAATAATACCTAAACACCAATGATTTCGGAGGTTGAAGTTTCCTCCTCAAGAACTTGAAGAAAATACCAAGAACAAAAATATAAAAGCTAAGAATTATTCTATGGAATGGAATGTCATTGCTTGATGAATTAAGGGCTTTATATAGGCTAAAGAATGGCATCTTTTTGTCTATTCAAGCCTAACAATCGGGTATGGAAGCAATATTTGATCAGATATGGAGGAAGATGGGTTTTTCCCATCAGAAATCTTCTGCACGTCGGACTGTTTTAGCAAAAAAATCGGAACAACCGGCGCCGGTTATAGCATGTCTGGCGCCGGTTGGTTGCAAAAATGCCCCGGTTGTGCTGCGCCGGTTGGAAACAGGCCCGATTTGGGCAAAAAATCCTGACGACCGGCTCCGGTCATGGGGCATCCGGCGCCGGTCCTAGCGCCCAAACTTGTACTTTGCTTCTTTTCTTCGTTTGATGCCCGAAAATTGATCCCGAAGTGCCGGTTTTCGATCCCTTTTGATTTTTGACCCTATTTTCATTGCTCCATGTCGTATTTCATGTTTCTGCTAACTCGAGAATATTTATCTGTTTTTGCTTCACATTTTTGTACAGATAAATGTAATTACTTTTGTAAAACATAAGTAATTATTGTGCTTATCACCGGCCGATTTGGGTGTTTCACCGCTTGTGCCGATACAATATTTAGGTGCGTTGACTACGCAACGGCTTTGTAGGCGCGTTGTGGATCGCAACGGCCTTATGTGCGTTGTTTATTGCAACGGCTTTAGGTGCGTCGTTTATCGCGACGGCTTTAGGTGCATTGTTTATTGCAACGGCTTTAGGTGCGTTGTTTATTGCAACGGCTTTAGGTGCGTTGTTTTTTGCAACGGCTTTAGGTGCGTCGTTTATTGCGACGGCTTTGGGTGCGCCGTTTATTGCGACGGCTTTGGGTCGCATCGGTCCCGGGTGTTTGCACCGCTTAGGCCGATGCAGTCCCCTTTTGCTCAAATCTTAAAAGATTGGATGAAACATGAATTTTATTCAATAAGTGGCGCTAGGCCGAGGGTGTTTTATTCAACCAATAAGCCGAGGGGTGGGGGACGTTGCCCGCTTCACCACTTCTCGAGTCATTGGTAAAATTTCACCAGATGGTGTACATTCCACAATCGTGGTACATCTGACCCATTAGGGTTCTTTAGTCTATAGGTGCCGGCTTTGATGACGGCGCTGATGATGTAGGGCCCTTCATATTTGAGGGCGAGCTTTCCCCCCTCCAACGGCTTGCTTGCTTCCCTCCGGCGGAGGACGTAGTCCCCCACTTGGAATTCGCGGGAGCGTACCTTGGCGTCGTAGTAGGATTTGACTTGGCGTCTGTAGTTCTCTGCCCGAAGGTAAGCCATCTCCCGCCTTTCATCAATGAGGTGCAAGTCAATCTTCATGGCTTCTTCATTGGCTTCGGGGTCGTACTGCGTGACCCGTCGGCTGGGGAGGGTGACTTCAGTGGGAGCCTTGGCTTCGAAGCCATAGCAAAGGGAGAATGGTGTCCCCCCGGTGGCCCTCCTCGGTGTGGTGCGGTAGGACCATAGGACATTGGGGAGCTCGTCGACCCAACTTCCGCCCTCTTCTTCCAACTTCTTCTTCAGCCCCTCCAAGATGGTTCTGTTGGCGTTCTCAACTTGCCCGTTGGCCTGAGGGTAGGCGACGGAGGAGAAACGGTGTTTGATGCCCCATTCTTGGAGGAGGCTTTGGAACGGTTCGGCCTCAAATTGGGTTCCGTTGTCTGATATGATCTCCTGAGGCACGTCGAAGCGGGTGAGGATGTTCCTGTAGACGAACTTTCGACACCGCGCTCCGGTGATGCTTGCGAGTGGTTCGGCTTCGACCCATTTGGTGAAGTAGTCGATGGTGACGATGATGTATCTGTTATTGCCCGCAGCTCTTGGTAGTGGGCCGACGAGGTCTATCCCCCATCTGGAAAATGGGATGACAGTGCTGACCGGGGCGTAGTTGACGGCTGGTCGGCCAGGTGTCCTTTGATAGTGCTGGCATGCGCTGCATTTGCGGGCGACTTCAGCGCAATCACGTGCCATCGTCGGCCAAAAGTAGCCTTGGACGACGAGGCGGCGTGACATGCTGAAGGGTCCCTGATGTGATGAGCACACGCCGCAGTGGACTTCTTCCATGGCCACCTCGGCCTCATTCTGGTGGAGGCACCGGAGGAGGGTGCCGTTGTATGACCTTTTGTAAAGCTTGTCACCCTCAATGACATAGCTAGGAGCCCTGAGCGTGGCTAGTTTGGCCCTCTCCTCGTCTTCTGGTAGTGTGCCGGAGGTGATGTAGGTTGCGATGTCGGTGATCCAATCCTCCGGCTGGTGTTGTATGGAGAGTATAGGGCTTGCGTGAATGCTTGACATGCTCAACTCCTCCACCTTAGCTATCTTGGAGATGTGCTCAGGAGTGTCGGAGCTGAGTTTGGAGAGGATGTCGGCCTCGGCGTTCTCCGCCCTTGGGATCTGAGTGATCTCGCAGGTGTCGAACGCCTTGAGCAATTCCGCAGCGGCCTCCTTGTATCGCTTCATCCTCCCTTCTTTGGCCTCGTAGGAACCCTCCATCTGGTTCACTACGAGTTTGGAGTCGCATTTGATTCTGATGTGGCGCGCTTTGAGGCCAGCGGCCAGTCTGAGCCCACTGAGGAGTGCTTCATATTCAGCCTCATTGTTGGATACCTTGAAATTGAAGCGAATGGCATAATATGCTCTGAAACCTTCCGGGGAGATAAGGACGACGCCACCCCCACAAGCTTTGGCGGCCGAGGACCCGTCCGTGTAGAGGGTCCAGGCTTCGTCTGGTTCAGCTCCTGTGGTGGTAACGGCCGTCTCCCTTACCGTGCACTCGGTGACGAAGTCAGCCAAGGCTTGCCCTTTGATAGATGGCCTCGACTTGATCTCAATCTGGTACTGGCTTAGGAATATTGCCCACTTGATCATCCTCGGGGAGCTGGTTGGGCTCCTCATGAGGGCGCCCAACGGCTGATGCGTGAGGACGTGGACGGGGTGAGCCTGGAAATAGTGCCCCAGCTTCTTCACCGTGTGGACGATGGCCAACACCGTTTTCTCAATGGGGGAGTACCTGAGCTCGGCCTCCCGTAACGTCTTGCTGACGAAGAATATTGCTTTTTGTACCCCGTCATCCTCCCTGATGAGTACGGAGCTGACGGCCGACGTGCTCACTCCCAAGTAAAGGAAGAGAGTCTCGCCGGGCTGGGGCTTGGATAGGACGGGTGGGGAGGCGAGATATTGCTTCAGCTCCTCGAAAGCCTGTTGGCACTCCGCCGTCCATTTGAAGCTGGTGGCCTTCCTCATTATCTGGAAGAAAGGGAGCGACTTTTCCGCGGATTTAGAAAGGAAACGGTTTAGGGCCGCAAGGCGTCCCTTCAGCCGTTGTACCTCCTTTATGTTGCGGGGCGGCTCCATGTTGATAATGGCTTGTATCTTCTCGGGGTTTACTTCGATGCCCCTTCGGCTCACCAGGTATTCCAGGAATTTACCTCCCTGGACGCCGAAGGTGCACTTCTTCGGGTTGAGCCGGAGGTTGTACCTCTTCATGATCTCAAAGATGCCCCGGAGGTCGTCTGCATGAGTTGTGGATTGTTTGCTTTTGACGATCATATCATCGACGTATGCTTCCATCGTCCGGCCTAAGATTGCTCTAAAAACCCGGGCTACCATTCTTGTATAAGTGGCGCCGGAATTTTTGAGCCCAAAGGCCATGACGAGGTAGCAAAAAATTCCCTCCGAGGTCATGAAAGCAGTCTTCTCCGCGTCATCTTCATGCATTGAGATCTGGCGGTACCCTCTGAACGCGTCGAGGAACGACATCAGCTCGCACCCCGCCGTCTCGTCCACCAACTGATCAATGTTGGGGAGAGGGAATGGGTCCATTGGACACGCCTTGTTCAGGTCAGTGTAATCAACACACATTCTGAATGTGGGCGGCTTTGGTGCGAGAACGACGTTCGCCAACCACGTGGGGTACTTCACCTCTTTTATGTGCTTGATGGAGAGCAGCATGGCCACTTCGGCCTTCACGAATTCCCTCCTGTCGGCTGAGAGGTAGCGCTTCTTTTGCTTGATGGGGGAGGAGGCCGGGTCGACTGAGAGCCGATGTGTGATCACTTTTGGGCTGATGCCTGGCATGTCCTCTGGTCCCCATGCGAAGACGACGGCGTACGCTCTCAGGTAGGGCTGAGCACCGGTCCAAGACCGGACCGGACCAGAACCGGTTGGACCGGAACCGGAATTCTAAAAAATAGTGGACCGGAGACCGGACCTATATAATTCCGGTCCAGGACCGGACCGGACCGGATTATTCCGGTCTTTCCGGTCCGGACCGGTATTGGACCGGATTTTTATTTTTATTTTATTTTATAATGTTTCGTCTTTTCAAAAATAGTTTTGATTGCTCAAAAATTTACCTATTACCTCATTGTTTCTATTACGGAGTATTATTTTATGATGGTTGATATGTGATTATTTGTAATTTATTCTTTTAAATGTATAGTTTACATTTTTATGTCTCTTTTAATCAATATAATATACATTATAATACTTCAAATAAGTAGAAATAAACACATGAACTATGCCTAGTCGAAATATCAAAAAACACGTTATTCAATTTTGACTCTATAAAATTTTAGGCATGATCATATATTAGTGCGGGAAACTAATGTTCTTTGCTCGATTAATTTAGTGAATGATTCGACTCAATAGCTTTGCTTATTTAACCAAGAAAAATACAATTAATCAAACTATATATTATGGTTAAAGCTAGTAAAAACAAGTAAATACAATGCCACATTCTAACTCTTAATGTTTTTATGCTACATAATTTTACTAGTATAAATTTGTAAATAATATTATGCATGTAACTTGAGTTAATGTATAAGTTATTGTATCATTTGATTAATGTACTTTTGTTAAAGTAAATTAATGTATTATGTATGTGTTTGTGTGTACATCTTAAATACATATATGAATATAAATATATATTTATGTATATATATTAATATATCTATATATATAATTTAATTCCGGTCTAACCGGACCGGAACCGGAATCCCTAAATACCTTGGACCGAAGACCGGACCGGTATCTATCCGGTCCGGGTCCGGTCTGGACCGACCGGTCCGGTTCGGTCCGGTTTTCCGGTCCGGTTCGGTCCGGTTTTCCGGTCCGGACCGGGTTATGCTCAGCCCGAGTCTCAGGACGGAGAGTATGCCCCCTCGGATATCTTGGGGGAGCTGGGTTCCGATCTTCAGTACACGTTCCGGCCGAGAGACGTCCAACGGAACCTCTTCCACGTCTCCGACCGGTTCGGCTTTTGGTGTGTCTTCTTCGGCCGAGGCGGTGGTGATAGTGTCTATCCGCTCCTCGGCCTCATTGATCTTCCTTGTGAGCTTCAGGTAGCAAGCCTTGGCTATCTTCTGGTTTCCTCTGGCGTAGCCGACGCCATCCTTGGTGGGGAACTTGAGGCACAGATGTTTCATGGAGATGATTGCCTCAAGGTCCTCCAAGGCCGGTCGGCCCCAAATCATGTTGTGGGCGCTGTCCAGGTTGACGACCACGAACTCCATGTCAATCTTCGCCTGAAAGGTACCGTCACCGACCACAACGGGAAGCACTATCGTGCCCTCGGCGTCGATAGAGTCCCCGGTGAAGCCGAATAACGGAGTCCGTATCGGCCGGAGCTCGGTTTTCTTCAGCTTCAGCTGTCTGAATGTATCAACATACATCACGTTGACGGAACTACCAGTGTCGATGTAGTTGCGGTGGATGATGTTGTTGCCAATCTCGCACTTGATGACGAGGGCGTCCCTGTGGGGCAAGGGGCCGAAGGGGAGGTCCTTTTCGGTGAAGGTGATGGCCTCCATGCTCCGTCGCTTTGGCTGAGGGGGGGCGTGGGACACCTCACCAACGTATAGGGACTGAGCCCATTTCTTCCGTTGGGTAGCCGAGTCCCCCCCTGTGTTTCCGCCGACGATGATATGGATGTGATGCTTCTTCTGGCGGGGCTCTTCCTCGTCCTCATCTTCACTGAGGGCGCCGATCTCCCTCTTTTTCCCGGAGGATCCTTCCCCCCTTTTGCCAGGGTTAACCCAAGTGTTACTCTTGGGGGCACCCTTGACAAATTGGGAAAGTTCCCCCTGTCGGATGAGGCCGTCGATGTGCCTCTTCAAGGTGGTACAATCCTCGGTCTTGTGGGATGTCTGGCGGTGGTACTTGCAGTATGTCCCTCCTTTGTGGACCGCAAATATCTCCTCTTCCGACCTGGGGTCCTTTACAATGAGGCCCTGCGCCTCAGCGTGGTCAAGGACGACGCTCACCGGGTGGGTGAGGGGGATGCGTTGTGCCTCCAACTTTGGACGCCACGAACGATCCTCTCTTCGCTGTCCGCCTGGCTCCTGGTGTGCCTTCTTCGGCTGGTTCTGTCCCTTGTTGGCTGGCGCATGGTGGGGGTTGGACGAGGAGTCCTTCTGTTGCTTCTCCCCACCCTTCTTCTAGTTCAGGAGCTCGTCGGCATCAGCGTGCCTATCTCCGCGTTGGAGCGCCGCGAGGTATGACCGCGGGGGCTCCGTGAACAGGCTCCGGGCGAAGTGGCTCGGCCGGAGTGCTCCGCGGAGGAAGGCCATGAGGGTGCGCTCATCGGCTCCTTCGCATTCGTCCGCCTCCCTTGTCCAGCGATCAAGGAAGGCTCGGAGCGTCTCCTCCGATTGTTGCTTGATGGTCAGGAGATGAGCGAAATGCTTCTTCGCGCGCTTCCTCCCGGCAAAGTGGGTGAGGAAGCGTTGAGCAAGGTCCTGCCATGAGTCGATGCTCCCCTCTGGAAGGTTGTTGAACCAATCGTACGCTGGTCCTTCCAAGGTGGAGAGGAACCAGCGACACATGTATTCCTCCGAAGCGTTTGTCATCATCATATTGTTCTGATAGCGGGTGAAGTGCTCCTGGGGGTCAGTGCGGCCGTCATATGGCTTGATCGGATTCCCCTTATACTTCTTTGGGATGGGGGCGGAGAGCACCCTTGTCACGCCCCGGACCTCCCCGGACACGTCAACAACCCGCCGTACAATACGAATAGTTAACCGCAGTCCAACACATTCATATTATACAAGGCGTCATGAATATCATTCACACATAAGTCATCCATAAACATACATAATAAACAATTGAATACGCAGCGGAACACATTGTTTAAAACAAAAGGGCCACACAGGGCAAACATGAGCACGCAGGCTCTAAAGTAAAATATCCATGAGCAAGTTTAATATTATTTAAAAACAGAATGGAGGAAGCACGAACCAAGTCTTCTCTCCAAGGAATCACTCGATCAACGAGCACAGGAAGCAAGCTCTAGCCTCAACCTGAAATTGTGGTGGGACGCCCCCGAAGGGGTCAGTACTCTATACGGCTATAAAGTACTGGTGTGGCAGGCATCTAATAGATATACAACAAGTATTTCAAACACAAGACCCTCAAGTAGGGTGATAGTACATTATGATTGTAACCCTAAGTTACCCATTTGAAAATATACTTACTTTAGGTAAAAGTCAAGTAGTCGGCCCGTGGGCCCATGTTCATTTAGAAATCACCATTCCCATTTCCCGTGGCTACAAGCCACGATACTCAATAGAGTCCAACCCTAACACATGACATTGTATTCTAGAGCTCGGCTCTACTACATCACCATACAATTCATGTCACTCGGGTCAATTCCTTACCTTGCGTTCTAGAGCTCGGCTCTATTACATCACCACGCAAGCCCTAGAGCTCGGCTCTAGCTATACAATACATAGACTACAAGTCTACACCTTACATGCATTCTAGAGCTCGGCTCTACTACATCACCATGCATTAAGGTCCAATTCTCAAGCAACCCTATGCCTAGAATTGACATATCATTAAACTGCCATGGGTCATCCTTAAAGACTTCCCATAACTTAACCTTAGTTCCATACTAAGTTATTATATACACTTGAACTATATTCAAGCACCTTTCATACAATCCAATCCCTAGGATCAATTTAATCAATAAATCCCAATAATCATTAACTAGTATTTCAATACTATTAAGATTATTGCTATCAAACCATTATCCTTGTTATTTGTAATTCTCTACATATTTATAATTATGTAGCAGCAACTTATACATTCATTCTCAATACACAAATATTCATTTATGTATCCACATAATTCATACATGAGAAAAATGCCCATTTTCACAAATAGTTCATTTATACTCATTTAATCTCATATTATTCATACCTTCTCAAATCATTTCAAATTTCATTCTTTGGCAACTATATCAATATTTCATCAATATATAATCATCATAATCCATGAAAAATCATGATTTAAGCATTTAGGTAATCTCATGCTTAACCTACAAGTTGTAAGCAATTAGATGTCAATCCTCACCTCAATTGAGCTTTAAACTTTCCCTTCTTGGTCCAATGGTCAAAGCTTTGGTCAAGGTGGAATTGGAACTGATTCCTTGCTCAAATATGAGTGTTAAACAGCCTCCTCAAAGTGCTAGTTCAACCCTTGTGTTTTGCTCGGACGATTTGGAAGCCTTCCACAACTCCGATTCCTGCAAACCAGACCTTCACGGATTCCTCGTCTTGAGAGCTTTCTGTGGGTATCTCACACGCCTTAATTGGATTTGTAAAACTCGAGATATCGACCAAACAGTCTCAGCACTCTCACAGCTCGAGTTCACAGACCTCTGCTCGTTCCAGCTCGATTTTTGTAAGATAAGCCTTCTCTCCTCGAACAAAGACCACTCAATTGAGATAATAGACTTCAAAGGCTATCCAAGGACATATTATTCACGTTGTTTGGTCGAGTATAGCTCCTATAATTAGAGGAGACAAACAGCACACCAATTTGTGCGAAAATAAGGATGGTGGCCCAAGCTTTGATTCCTATCAAGTCATGTGCAGCTCCCCTCCATTATGGCCGGCCAAGGTAGGTCTTCTAACCCATTTTTATTTGTTTTGCAGGTACTAATATCATGTGGAGTGGTTCCCAATTGATCCCATTAAATTTGGGGTCCAAAATATCTACCAATACTTCCAAAAATGGGAAGATGGGTCCTATTGTTTTATCTTTGTCAAAGATGTCTTTTTGTACTCATCCTAATTTATTTAGAACAAGTCAACTTCCTAAATCACATTATTGATCTCCAATATGTGTAGGCTCATCCCAATAATTTACGTGATGGATATTTTAGAAGGAAAATCCTACTCCCATTATTTAGCTCAATAATGCCAAAGATGGGGTTATAGACATTTGTATTCTCCTTTAATCATTCTTTCACTATTTAGGTAATGTTGGGCTTTTTTATTTATTAATAAGTCCCGAGTAAGTATTTGCGAAACCCGACACTAATGTACGAGTTTGAACAGTACGATATTCAACCATGCACTACGTAGAACATTGATCGTTTTACAAAATGTTTGGGAATCGGAAATCCAATACATAAGCTATGAATATTCAAATCAAATTTCCAAGGACATTCGGGTGCGGTGTCACAACCCTGGCAGAGAAGGGGGTCCTTGTCCTTATCTGGATGACGGGCTCATCGCGTCGGTCGGCCAATTCCCTTTCCAGAGCACTGACTTTGTTCAGGAGCGCGTCGTAGTTGGGATGCTGGGATGTGTGGGCCGATGCGCGCCCTGCGGCCTCCCGGGCTTCCATGTCAGCGAGGCGCTTCTCCAAGCGGGCGATGATCTCATCCCTTGGGTCCGCGTTGGCCGCGGCGCCACCCAGAGGGGTCTGGATCCGGGCCGCGTGGGCCAAGTTGATTTGGTGGCGCGCATCGTCATCAATCAGCTTTCCTTTTCCTTTGTCTGGTCGGGGCCGGTCCGTTGTTCGGGACACGGACCCGAAGCTTTCCTTCGGTGATCCCGGCTCGCGGCCACCCAACCGATCCGCCACCCTTCCCGTAGGTACCCGACGACTCGCGATGTCACCCAGCCTGTTGAATGCTGAGATTTTACCGCGAGGTTGGGCCGGTGTATCCCGGGTAGGCGAGGCAGTATGGGAATGGGTGTCCATGGCGAGGACGTCTTCGTTGTTGCCGAAGAAGGTGACGCCCTGTGGACGAGGTGGCGGCGGTGACACCGTTGCGACCTCCCCAGTCGCAGGGGTGTTGTTTTCCCCGGTCTTTGCGACAAGAGCGCTGACCACGTTGGGGTCCTGGAGGATGCTTGCAACAATGGCCGATAATGCGGCCGGGTTGATCTGGGGAGCAGCAGGGTTAGAGGCCTGCTGGCCCGAAGCGCGATCAGCATTGCGCCTGTCCTCGAGCCCGATGCGGGCGTCTGGGGCAGTCTTGTTGAGCTGGGTGCGAAGGTCGGCCGCTGCGAGCTCGACCTCCTGAGCATTCTCATCCTGAGTGATGGGATCATTGGGGACGTTGTCAGCAACGTTTCCCTGCCCTTCCTGGTTCAGTGGGGCATTCCTACCAGTGTTCTTTGACCTAGTTCTTGTCATAGCCAGCGGTAGTGTCTGGTAGCGACGAAGGGTACTCACTTGACCTGTTCTAAGCTCTCAACGAGAGCACCAAATGATAGAGTATTAATTCTAGAGAGAAGTGAGAGCTAGAGAGAGAAAGTGAGTAATTATATTTCTCAACTTGGAACCCCCTATAATTAGCCCCTTGGGGTCTATTTATAGGTAAAAATGTGGATTTGGGCCCCTGGCCTTGGGCTTAGGAGGCCCATTACAATAATCATGCCTTCTTTGGGCGAAATAAGGCCACTAATGGGCTGTGTACAATACTTAGTAAATGGAATGAAAACTACATTCTGCCTGGACGAAGTCCGGACGATGCGGTCCATGGACGATGCGGTCCATGGACGATGCGGTCCATGGACGATGTGGATCCTGGACTTCTCCCGAAGAATCCGGGTGATATCTTCTTTCTTGGACGTCGCGTGCTTTTGGCCGATGCGGATATCCTGCTGGTGTCTTTTGGGCCAATGAGTATGTGGGCCATGGGGCCCAGGCCCATATACTCTATCACGTCTATTAACATGTTTTGTCATGAAAACATTAACTTTCCCATACTATTGTATACACCGTATATAATAGTTACAAGAAATTTAACTGTATGTAAGCATTGTTGAGTACCAAGACTTAGGATGTTTTCTTTTGGACTGTTTTCAGTCCCAGACCAGACCAGATCAGACCAGATCAGACTTAAACAAACCAGACCAGACCAGACCAGACTTAAACAGACAAGACCAGACCAGACCAGACTTTGATAGTTATAAAATACACAGAGACCAGACGTTTACCAGACCAGACCAGACCATACCAGACCAGACCAGACCAGACTTAAACAGACCAGATCAGACCAGACCAGACCAGCAAATTTCAGTCCAAAAGAAAACATCCTTACTAACTAATAACAATAGTTATTAGAACCCACTGACTATTACCATATTATGGAAAATTTATATAATCATGTCAAGATTTATTTGTATTCATTCTACGTGTATAGATACCGTAATTGCAACGAATCACGATGTCGTATTACATTTTAATACCTAAGTATCTTTCAAACGAAATATTTGGATAATACTGTAATTAATCTGCAACGAATCACGATGTCGTATTACATTTTAATACCTAAGTATCTTTCAAACGAAATATTTGGATAATACTGTAATTAATCTCGTGTGTTTCATCCCGACTATTAGGATCTATCATGTCTTCATTAACTATGAATTGGACTCTTTGGTCTACCAAACACTACGGAAGATTATGTATACGTCCGAATACATAATCATATTAGTTACAATATGATAAACATATTAATAGCAAATAATATCACCATATTGGAGTATAATTTATATGATAGAACAAGTGAATCGGGTATTATTCTGGATACACGTGAGTGTTTGGATAAAGGTTCCATAATTGGTGATATTGTGAACAATATATTGATTGGATATGTTAATAAGGTATTTAATACTATATTTACGTGATCCCATGGAAATACGGTATTCTTCTCATACTATCCTCCGTTCCATAATTCTTGCAACAGTTTGATTTTCACGTTTGCCAATGCACAACTTTGACTGTAATTATATTTAATTATGTATTAGTAAACATTATAAAAAGTTGATATTTTGGAAATTCACATTGATAAGAGTTCAATAACATTTTATTCGTAATAATTTGATTATGTATATTAGTAGAAAATCATGGTCAAAGTAAGATCTGTGAATAGTGTAAAAATCACAATGTTGCAAGAATTATGGAACGGAGGAAGTATTTGATTACAATGAGGATACCCATAATATGGATTATGGGTACATAATTTTCAATAATTATGTACCCATAATCCGAGTATACACAATTATGAAATGGGTTGTAAACTACCCATGGATAGTTTACAACGTGTCCAATTATCGATACAAGTCTTCATTTTGCTGTGACTTAGTATGTATAAGTTATGTCGAAATTTCGAAATGGAATGCCCCATATACAGTACGGGACACTGTTGTATCAAACCATTCATTACAAGGTAGAACATCACTCCTAATGACTATTCATTAGGGAATGGTTCACTTGTCGTACCCAATTTATATTGGGATGTTATATTAATGTGATATTGGTATCCTACGGTCTTAATTTCGATTGCCTAATGTGGATTATCCCAGTTACCTTATCACCATTAAGGTTGTCATACGACCCATCAACATAATACGCCATTCTAAGGTACAGATGGGAGTCTTTGATACTTTAAGATAACTGTAAATGAATCAAACATGTACATACGTATTATTGTGTCTAAAATTATCCCATGCATGTCTAATTTATGGGTGAAGTCGGGAACACAATGAATACATGGATCAATTATGTATCGGTTATAATTAATGAGATCATATATATGATGTCGTAAGAATCAGATTCCCATTGTTATGATCCCAATTGTACCTCAAATCTATACAATATTTAGTGTAACTGTTCCACATCTAAATTATTAGAAAACTACAGTGCCAATCATATACATTTACTAATGTATAACTCCAAGAACTTAACCATTGGGTCAAAAATGTAATACACTATGTACAATTTCTTCAATTATACCTTCGTAGTTTAACTGAGTACACTGGATAGACTCTAATGTTTCACCAAATCTTGAATGACAAAATACTCATATTGTATTAGCCTTTATTAGTGTATAAATATAATACACTAATAAATTGGGTATATGCATACTGGATAAATTTTAAAATATATCCAGTATGCCCAATACTATACGAATTTCCCTTGGACTAAATATGTCGTATATCAACATATGACACATACTGTAGTATATATGAACAAGATTATAGAGAATTTGATGGTATTACCATCAAATTCGGTCCAATACTTGATTACTTCAAACGAATAAATATTAATGAGTTGCGAACGAAGTTTATAGTGGGTTATAAAGTATTACAAATTCATATTGGATTAATATACTGATGTGTACTATTTAGTAGTGCATAAACACCACATTTTAGAATGGTTTTACATTGTGTTTACTTAGCTTTTGTACAATTACGGTGTAATCTTTGTCTTCTAAAATTAAAGTAGAATTAGAAAATATTAAGATATTTTGATATGTAAGCAAAAACATGATGAAAAGAAGAGGAATGAGTTTGGGAGCATAAGGAAGAAGCATTGGAGACAAGAGGAAGCTTCATGAAGAACAAAGAAATGTGAAAAACCGGATATGATTTGACCCGGAGATCATAAGAGATCAAATAAGGCAAGTGAT